AGCTCTAATTAGGCAAGCAGCGTCCTGGATATTCCAATTAGCGGAGGATTCTGCGGCTATTTTGAAATGCTAACAGCAGCGAGGCACTCCAGCATCTCCCTCAGCACGGCGTATGTCCCAGCGCTCCGGGCTGCGCGCCGGGTACGGAGATGCTCTCAGCTCACTCTCCTGGCGGGAAGGGCGTTTGGACCTGGCCTCTTCCTCAGCGGAGCCACCTGGGAGCAGCTGAGGATCCTGGAGCTTAGGAGCCTTGGGCTCTTGCCTCCTCTTGCGCCAGGCCGTGGCCAAGCCGTGGGCAAAGCCCTTGCAGAGCAAACCCCGTTGCACGCGAGGGAGCGCGCGCGCCGCCAAGCCTGTGGGCGCCTGATGAGCCCCAGTGTGGAGCGGGATCTGCTGCAAACGTCTTTCTCCCTGGAGCGACAACCTGGAACGATTATCCACCCAAGATTTATCTCTGCAGCGCCTTGTGTATCCTCTGTGCTTAAAAATGTCTCGCTGCCCTTTGTATTATTGCATTGCCCTTTACATTCATAGCGCATAAACCTCTCAAGTACCGTAAAACTTACAAGGTGTAATATAACATCATGATTTCCTCTTACACGCCATAAACAACCCTCGCTGAAGAAAGAGTGAGAAAGGGAGACTTTATTTAGCCTGACAATGATATGGTGTGATTCAGGATGAAAATATAAATACGAGTACACACACATACACTCCTACACACTTAAAATCACAAGCTGGATTGATTATCTGGCACTGATGGATCACTTTAATGTATTAGGGAGATAAGGAAATTGATTATTCAATACATCATTGTCTGCACTAAGAATCCAGTATTAAAAAAGGAGAAAATATGATAAATCTATCTCACGCCAGCAAAGAAAAGCTTATACTTTTAAGGTTAATCATATTGTGCCTCTTGCCACATGTCCAAAGAAAGAACAACACCCCAATTGCCGTAGTATTAAAGCACCGATTAAAGCACTGGGGGAGCGAAGCTCCCTGCGTCCAGCAGCCTGCGGGGGCCGGACTGGCACCAGCACCAGGGACATCCCAGCACAGCAGGACGTGTCCCATGTAAAACACACACCTCCACGTGGGCGCATGGGGAGCCCGGGGCAGGAGCCTCCCGCGAAGCCAAACACGGAGCTCCGGGACCCTGCAGCCTCAGCCCTTCTCGGGGTGGCGTGTCCAAGGTGAGATGTGAGCAAGGGCTTCACACTCAGCAGCACCTCGGTAGCTAAAGCTTCATTAACATGACAACGGGAGCAGCCCCGGTTCCGCAGACTCGGGACACTCGCATTATTTACTCCGCATGACGGCTGAAAAGCCCTGATTCCAAAGCCACCCTGTCCGTGGGCAGCGGGGACAGAGGGGATGCGTCCTCGGGCGAGCTCCGACCTCCCGGGAAGTGACTCCCCTGAGCCCATGAGGAACATGGGCCAACAGCGTCTGCTGCAGCCAGGATCACATGAGCCAGGTTTTGATGCCCGGCTTCGCCCGGAGCAGCCCATGTGAGCCCCAGGAGCCACTGTGAGCCAAGAGGCTCCTCTCCTGCAATCCGAGGGTGGAATTTAAAATCCCTGCAGGGACTTACTCTGAATCCACCTCAAAACTACGTAGCAAGTCTAACACTTCAGTCCCAATAGACAGTCATAATTCAGCTAAATTTGTGGGTTATAGCAGATTTTATTTACTGTTTCTTCCTGGGAGATAAGTAAGAGATGACAGCCATCTATTCATTAAAGCACGGGAAGCCGCCTACGGCTCGTGTGGCGCTGCCGCCGGGCGCCCGTTGGAGCGGCCTGCGCTCAGGTGCTCCTTGCAGAGCCCTGAGCTCCGGGCACCTCGGAGCACTGCTCTCCTTCCACGTCCTTGCTTCCCTCCGCAGAAGCTGCAGGGATCAACTCGTGCCAACGTAGCAAGGTGGCCGCTTCCCTTGTTGTTTGCCAACACTTGCAATCTGTCCTTAGCAACAGTGGGCGCCGATGTTTGCCGTCGTCCTGCGCTCATCCCGATCGGAGGCATCCCGATCGGAGGCAGCACATGGGGTCCCTTGAGGCGGCTGCCCTGCAGAGGCGCAGGCTGCAGCGGTGCCGTCCAGCACCGCAGGGCCGGCGCTCATGGGTGGCGCGGGCCGCCGGGGCGTTGGGAGCACCCGGCACGGCTGCTCTGGCGCTGGCGGCGCGGGGAGCACGAGCCGCCCAGCCCGGCAGCGCGGCGGGAGGAACAGTGCCCTCTGCTGAGCCCGGGCCCGGTGCGAGTGCCGCTGCGGCCGGGAGCGCTGCGGGCCAGGCCGGCACCGCCGGGCCCAGCTGTAGCCGCAGTTGTTGTTGGGGTTGTTCCACACACCGCTGGAACCCCACGGCGGACTTCCGTGCACGGGAGCACCCAGGCACGGGGAAGCTTGGTGCACAGCAGCAGCAGAGGGTTTGGAGCGCCCGTGTCGCAGGCATTGCTCCGGGGCCGAGCACCATGCCGGGCTGCTTTGCAGGAGCCTCCGCACACACGGGCCGTGCACAGAGTGTCCCACGGGAGTGTGCGGACCCCCACGGCGCATCCCACTGCCCCACTGCAGGCCTGCCCCACCGGCCCCGCTCCCTCCACCGCAACCAACCAGCACTGGCCTCTGTGTCTGCAGATTGCTCTGAATTTCCTGCATGAGGCTCTCAGGAGGCTGCTGAGATCAAATAATTAGAGTCCTCGGCAATAAAGAGGTAATGCTGTTATTCAAATGTATTCCAAACTCATTTAGCACCAAACGATTGACGCTGCCGTGCTCACGTCCTGCTGAACTGCTTGGAACGGGCTGCCCGATACACACAGCGTCTCCCGACAACCAGTAACTTTTATCAGCCCTCGTCACACAAAACACACACGGAGATGCAGAAAAAGCCACAGAGGCATCAGAGCGATTGGAAAGCAGGAGAACCGCCAGCCACAGAGGGCACGGGGCTGGCAGCAGCGCACCCCGTTTTGGGGTGATTCTGCCCCAAAGCTGCTGCCGCCCAGGCGGGCATGGGCAGCGACGGGGCCTGGCGCAGCCCTGCAGCAGGGGCCAGCGCGCACTGAGCGCCTCCGTGTCACCTGCCCCAGCGCCCCCGGCCCCTTCTGCATTCCTCGCAGCCGAGAAAATCACCTGTTTTGTGTTTTTCCAATAGAACTTAGTTTGTCGAATGCAGGAAGGTCATCTCAAAACAAAATCCAAGACGGACATAATAAGCCTCAGACAAGGCAGTCACACAAAGGAGGATAATTATCCACAGGATTTGTTTTCTGTGTCTTTATACCAAATAATCGAAGCTATTTTTTCCACCTCGTCTCCGCTCCAGGCTGCCTCCCTTGTTCGGTGAGATTTGCCGGCCGTGCAGCCAGACGATGCCCTGACCCCTTCCCTTGCAGGCACGGTTCGGAAAGGGCTGCAAGGAGGACAATCCGATAAGCTGCGCGCCAGCCTCTTTGCCGAAGCTTAGCGGGAGCCGATGCTGCGGCACCTGCCGGGGTGTGCGGCACAGCCGCTTCCCGGAATTCCCATATTTGCAGATATTTCACAGATTGCACAGTAATTAAACAGCTGTGGAATTAGTACAGGTACAAACCCCTCCTCAATTTAAAAAAAAAAAATCCAGCAAGGAGGCACAGGTTTTTTTAAACGTGTGTGCGTGGGGATTGTGCTCGTATGTGGAGATGAAATACTGCTATTCTACTTGGGAGAGAAGCAGCGCTTTTGGCTCTTTCTTCGCTATTCTAGATATCTCCCCTGGAGAAGTAAAGCCATGTTTCTGTTAACAGTTCCCCAGGAAATAAAAGGGTAGCTTAGAAAGTTACTTGTCGTCTGCCAGGCTTGGATTTCCGCGTAGGAGCAGCGCTTGTGTCCGTGCTCCGCAGCCCCATTTCCCCGGGCAGCCCCTCGGAGTCTGCGGCCGCACGGGACCCGCGTCCTCCTCCTGCTGCCTGTCACCAGGGGCTGCGGCACTGGCACCGGCACCGGCAGGACCTGGTTTTCACCGGACGGTGCTTGTGGATCTCCTGAGGTTGCGCTAGTTGCTCTGGGTTAGGGTTTGTACCTTGCAAGCAAAAGGGTGAACCCGTCCTTGCTGCTTTTCCTGGGCAAGCAGCAAATCCCTGGGAACATGTACCAAGAAGGGATGTAACAGCACAAGACTTGCTTTACGTGACGTGCTAAACACAAACATCTTTTTTAATTACCTAAAGAAAAATCACAGACTCCTTCCCAGTGCGTTTTCTGTGCAATTACTTTATGTAACATTATTAAAAATTAATTTGCCCCCAAACCTCAGCAGTCGCATGAAGCAGCCTGGGCTCCGGCTGCCGCGCAGCAGCCCTCGGCGCTGCCCATCCCAGTGCTGGCTCCGGAGCAGGTCCCTGCGGAACCTCTCATGTCCCGAGTCAGGGCAGCGCCGCTGCCCAGCACCTCATCCGTGGTCACCGGGGCACCGCAATCCCTGCTCCCGCACAGCATCCCTCCTGCTCCCATACAGCGTCCCCGCTGTATCCACACAGCATCCCCCTGTTCCCGCACAGCATCTCTCTTGCTCCGAGCACCGTGTCTCTGCTGTAGCGGTACTGTCTCCACATCCCCCTCGCACAGACACAACATCCCTCTCGTGTCCCTGTTGGCAGCCGTGCCACCCGGCTCTGGCACCTCTCCTGGTGCTGCTCGCACCGGCACCGTCCGTCTTACACCGACGCCGTCCTCTTGCACAGACACTCTCCCTTCTTGCACCAACAATGTCCCCCTTGCACCGACACATTCCCCCTCGCATGGACAACATCTCCTCTTGCACAGACACTGTCCCCCTCCTGCACAGACGCTGTCCCCCTCTTGCACAGACACTGTCCCCCTCTTGAAGAGACTGTCCCCCTTGCACCGACACTGTCCCCGTCGCACCGACACCATTCCCCTTGCGCGGACCCTGTCCCCTCACACAGACGCTGTCCCCTCTTGCTCCGTCGCTGTCCGGGGCGCAGGCACTCACCGATGCGGATGACATGCGGCATCCCATGCGAGCAGGGGCCCCAGAGGCCGCCGAGCAGGACCGCAGCCCAGTATTCCCAGAGCAGTCGGCGCGGCGCCGGCCAGAGTCGGGTCATCGCTGGCGAGGGCAGCGGCGGCTCTAGGGCCCCCGGGGCAGCCGGGCGGCGCGCAGCGGCCCGCGGGCTACGCGGAGCGGCCGGTCGGCGCCGAGGCCGGACCGCTCATGACACATCTTAGTGGGGGCGCAGCCCGCGCCGCGTCGGGGCGAGCGGAGCCGAGCGGAGCCGGGGCGATCCGGGCCGGGCCGGGCCGGGCCGGGCGATCCGAGCGGAGCGGAGCCGGGCGGCACCTGCGGAGCGCGGCTGCGGTGCTGCCCGCAGGAGCCGCTGTCCCCTCCTACCGCTGGTGCGCGCGGCTCGCGCAAAGCCCCGGAGTGGAGCCCTGCGCTCGCGCTCGCTCGCGCTCACTCGCACTCACACTCACACTCGCTCACTCGCACTCACACTCACACCGCCCCGCACCCAGGGGGGCCGGGGCAGGGCCGTCCCGCGCCGGCGGCCGCGCTCAGACCCGCGGCGGCTGCCGCCGCTGCCGCCGCCGGTCTCGGCGGGGCAGCGGGAGCAGCGCGCACGGGATCCCGGGGGGTCCCGGGCCGCGGCTACGGCGTGGGGGACCCCAAGGGTTCCCGGGCGGCGGCCGCGGTGCAGGGGGGTCCCAGGGCAGCGCGCAGGGGGTCGCAGGGTGGTTCTGCCCCTGCTCCGCAGCTCTGCGCCCCCCCCCAACCGCCTCCACACAGCCCCCGGTGCCCCGCCGCAGTCCCCATAGTAGCCTGGGGACCCTCTGCTCCCCACCATGAACAGGGCACCGCAGCCACCACTGCTACCCCTGGGAGCAGCCTGGGGGTGGAGGATGGCCAGGGACCAGGATCAGGACCAGAATCGGGACCAGGATCAGGGATGGGGACTGGCACCGCTGTTGTTTGTCCCACCAGGGATGGTGGGGCCAGGCGGGAGTACCACAGAGCCCAGGATCAGCTGCTCCGTCAGCTCTCCAGGCTAGGCCGGGGCGAACGCCCGTCTCCTCATTGAAATCATTTGATCTGTTCCCTCATTCCTGCTCTCTCCCATTTTCAAGCCGTCTGCTCGTCACATCGCCCGAAACAGCTCCAGAGCCGGGCTTTAATTTTCTGAAGACACTGCCCCTTGGACCTGCTGGCCCTTGGAGGTGCCCCGTGCTCCAGGACACCCAGCACCATGAAAAGTGTCCTGGGGAGATTGAGGACTTGCCCAGTGGCTGCAGAAACACCAGGCGTGTGCCCCATGCACAGCCCCGGTGAAAATGCTTCCAGGTCGTGATTCACAATGATTCCTGCTCCACAGCGTGTCTGGGGCAGGCAGCGCGATCTCAGGCAGCTCAGGTGGCAGTGATGGAGCCTCCTGGTTGCTCCCAGTTAATCGTCAGGCTCCCACACCGCGCTGCGGCTCGGAGCGGTGCCTGAGCACCGTGTGCTGCCCAGGCTGGGCCCGAGCTCTCGTGTGCATTTGGCATTTTACATGTATGTAAAAATCTCGCTTCTGCCATCCACAAAGTGGTGAATTTTAGTGCAAACCTTCCCAAGGACAAAGGGGGACTGCTTAAAAAAATTCCTAAGAAATGCTGAAGTTATTTCATTAATTTCTAGGGGGAAAGGCTGATTGTCCAGGGACAATTCTGAGCAAAATTCAGGTTTCAGAGAAGCAGATGAGGGATGACCCCACAGAGCAGACATGTCCTAAGCCTCCCTGCAGCTGCATTTCCAAGCCAATGCAGAAAAAGAGGCTTTTTTCTTAATGGTATCTAGATACCATTTTTTCTTAATGGTATCTAAACAGGTTTATTTGAATTAGCTGGCTCCACGTGGATTTTTCTTAGATTTATATGCCCCAAAAGCAGTGCAGGGCCATGGAGGTGAGCGGGGGGCCTGGGCTCACAGCACCCGCATCCTTGTGGCGTGGGAGCAGCGCTGGGCAGCGATTGCGGATTTCTGGGGCTCGGGTGCCCTCTACTGAGACGTCCCCGCTCTCCCTCGGGCTGCACGGCCGGCAGCCCCGCGATACTGCTCCATTAAATGGACTCCTGCAGTTTGCAGGCTCTTGGGAACACGCTCTTCATTCCCTGCCGTTCCCTTGGTCATGATCCCCACCCTTCCCGCAGCTCTGTTCAGGCCACAGCAGCTGTTTTTGGGCGCGGGGTCAAAAATATTTGAGCACTGGCTCCGGCAGTCGGCAGCGGCAGGAGACAGCGCTCATCTTGCCGGTCCCGTTGCCTTCCATTGGCTCCGCAACGGCTCAGAGCGGGGCTGCAGGCAAGGCTGTGCTGGGAAAGCCCTCAAAAGGCATGGGCATCGTGAGCAGCACCCGGAGCCGCTCGCTGGGCTCTGCCGCCCGGGCTGCAGCTCCAGAGCAGGGACGACGCTTGGCTGGGATGGCGCCGCGCGGCCCCTCCTGCGCATCCCCGCGCAGCTCCAGGGCCTCAGCGGCACCGGGGCAGGACGGGCCCTCCCGGGTGCCCACTGAGCTGCCACAACTACCTCTGTCTCATCCCCCAGACAGGGCGATGGGGAACAAAGGAATAAGTGGGACCCGTCCAAATTACTGTCTTCATTGCAAGCATGTTTGTTACCTGGCAAGATGAAGCTGCAGCCATGCGCCTGATCCCCGGCTGCAGCATAAGCGTTTGAACCGGGCTGGGTGGAAATGCACACTCGTATCAAAGAGCCCTTGCATGTATTTTTCATCTTCTTTCTGTAGAGGTAGGAAATCATCTTTTTTTTTCCCTTAGGGAAAAAAATAAAGAAGAAAAAAACCCTCTATCTTTAGGCTTGGTAGGAGAAGCCATTTGCAACTGACGGGTGTAAATTATGCCTGCTTAGTCAGACAAGAAAATTAGAGACTGCAGAATTAGCCTCTGTTGCAATTATCTTTACATGGAACCGGTTTACCAGTCCTATTTGGTACGCTCCTTGGCTTCCTGATGTGCTTTATCGGCAACCTGGTGCCTTCAGAGCGCTCCGGATGGATGCCCGACAAGGAGGGCCCTTTTCCCCTGCGGGAGCCGGAGCAGGAGGTTGGGCAGTGCCTGCTGCAGAGCACAGGGCACCTCACTGCCCACGCGTCTCTGTGCCCCGGCGAGGATTTGGAACTCCAATATTGGAGCCTCAGAACCTTTTCTTTTTTCTTTCTCTCCCTACATGCAAAGGGCAAGAGGAGAGCATGTTATTTCAAATGCTTGGTAGAATCTGACTTGGCCGAAATTATACTGGGGATTAATTTGGGCAGCTGCGTCCCATCTTTTTTTCCAATCCTCTTGCAAACTCAGGCCTATTTCCAACTCATGGTAAATCCCTCCTCTGTTCCAGCGCCCTCGGAGGAAGTTTGAATGCTTCGATACGGAAACTGCTGGCAGATCTGGCCTCAGCTATTTAAAAAGGAAGAAGGAAGGAGGGAAGGAGGGAAGGAGGGAAGGAAGGAAGGGCAGCACTTGCCTTGCAGCGCACACTGTGTGCGAGGAGCTGCCGCAGCGGGGATTTCAGACAGCCTTGTTTGAAGCCGAGACTGGAATCCTTCAAAACTGGTGCTAACAGTGCTAACGCAGACCGTTGCACCACTTAAATACTTGTTATTCATGCCTGCTGGTGCCTGGGCACGAGGTTAATTTGAGTGCTTTTCAGCTTAGCTAGCAATAAACAATTTCATGCTTTATCCCGCTGAAGGAGAATTGTACAGCCTGACGTATTCACGGGTTGAAGGCTGGAGTGTAGGAGGCTTCCTGGGCTGGGAGGAGAGAGCGGACACATTATTGTTTGCTTTTATCTGCTATTTATCTGCTATTGAAAAGGTGTTAAGAAAACAGAGAAAATGGATTTCAAAGGGTAGAAAACTAATTGGTTTGGGGAATCCCATCTGGAAGATCCTCTCTAGTTTTCCCAGTTCTCCAGAGCTGTTCCGGCGATGCTCAGACTGGCCAGGGTACCACAGTGGCTGTTCCCTGTGTCCTGACCTCTGCCCTTGTTTTTATTTTCTTCAAATGTGAAGGAAGAAACAAGAGCTATGTCCAGGAAACATTACAGATTAAAAATAAAATTTAGTTTCATATAGAAATACTTCACGTTAGGGCTTTTTCTAAGTGCAAAAAGAGAACACGGATTGTTTGGCAGAACTGTGTTTCTGGTTTAGAAGCGTTCACCCAGGGGAAAGTAACGTCTTCACAAAATTAGGCTTTCTGCATCATTTTTAATTGGGCCCAAATCTCATTTTCCCAACCCAGAGGCGCTGGGGTGCCGAGCAGGCTGTACCGCCGCTGTCGCTCCGGGCTCACTCTGTGCCGGGAGACGCAATTACCTTCCCCACGGAAGCTGTTTAAAGATCAAGCAAGGAGCAGTTTGAGTAGAGATTAAACACAAAGATGCTCATTTATGAATTAGAAAAAAGGAAAACCCCTCCGAGTAGATTAAAGTCTTACAGAGCTGAGTGATGGCCGAGGCACGGGGCACTTCAGTGGCGCCGCTTGGGTTGCTTGGAGAGCAGATCATCCCCGCGAACGTCCGCCTGTGCCAGCGCCTCCGGGCCCCGCTTTCCCACGGGATTTGGGCTCACTGGCCGGGGCCATGCGCTTGGTGCAAGGGGCAGTGCTGCCCAGGTCCCGCCAGGGCAGTGAGCGGTGTCGGGGACACAGGGGCCTTCAGCCATGTCATTGCTAATTGGCAGCCTTGGTGGGCGCTGTGCTCACCAAAGCGTCGCTTCCCGGGCATTTTTGCTGCTCCGCTGCGCTGGTCGATGTTACCGTGGTGGGAAGAGGGGGCTTAGGGAGCCAGGTGCAGCTCCCCACTCCATAGCAGGTGTCATTCATGTCAGCAGCTCCCTGCTGCTTTTATTGGCTGTACACTTCAATAACGGAGACCTGGGGAGTACAGTGGGATTAATTGCTGGCTTGGAGAATAAACTACTCTCGGAGAAGTCAAGGGTGATCAGCCTCAGCCAGACAGTCATTTCCCAGGGGATGCTGGATGCCAAGGCACCTCTTGCTATAAATTGCTTTGGAGATACTGTATGCCAAGGGTACTTCTTGCTATAAATTG